CCCCCCCCCCCCGGATACTGAGAGAATATAGAGGCTTTTTTTCAAACTTGGATCGCTGGGGTTTCACTTTGCTCACCCGTTCTAAATTAACCTTTCTTCACTCACAGTAAAACTTAACGTTTGTTAGAAATTTGTCTTGTTGCTGTTTTAAACTGGTTTCCTGCTTAGGGTGCACCTTTTGTTTTCCTTCAAAAAGGAAAAACAGATGTCTTTTTAACTCATGTTGCTTGTCTGCTAATTGTTGCTGTTCCCCATCTCAATCCATAGGGAGAGTCAGATAAGGAATTTATCATTACTAAAGCCTCAGAGAAAATTCATAACAAACTGCCACAAATCCCCAAAATTGTTTCAAAGGTAATAATAATAATAAATAGCAATAAAGCTAATAAAGAGAGGGATGCCTTCAAGTTACCTGTTGACTTATGGCAAGTCCTTGAATTTCATAGTGTTTTCTTAGGCAAGGAATTCTCAAAGGTAATTTTGCCAGATCTTTCCTCTGAAATAAAGGGCCTTTGCAGACTGCCAGAAATAGTGCACATTAAATTGAGGCACTGCCCTGGCTCAGTGCTAGGGAATCATGGGAATTGTATTTTTTTCTGAGACATTGAGCCTTCTCTGTCAGAGAGCTCTGGTGCCACAATAAATTGCAGTTCCCACAATTCCCTAGCACTGAGCCAGGGCAGTGCCTCAATTTAATGCGCATTATTTCTGGCAGTCTGCAAAGGCCTATAGCCTACAGCACCTGGTATTTGTTGGTCTCTCATCTGAATACTAACCAGAGCTACCCTGCTAGGCTTCCAAGATCAGATGGGATCTAGTACCTTTAAGGTATTTCGGTGGGTCAGTAACCATACTACATGCTAATAAAAGTAAGTCACCATTATCTGCAGATTAGGACACAAAGCACTAGTTTTTGGAACATATACTGATGATCATAAAGCAATTGAATATAAAAAATACTTACAATCATTATTTGGAGGAGCAACCTTCTTAGGCTCTGGTTGATCTGCAAAATTAAGATTTTTAAAAATGTTTTTGGCAACAGAAAAAAAGAATGTAAATAAATGGCTGTTCCAGAAGTGCAAAATGCAACTTGTCCAATGCACTTTAGCATGTTTTTGAAATTTCAGGGAATAGATCATCTAAACAAGGAAAAATCTTATATGTTTAACACTTGGTTAGTATAAGGGGAAAAATACAAAGCACTTCCATTTATCAAATAAAATGTTCAACGCTTTAATAAGGCACACAGGATTAAACGCACTATTATGGACGTCCAGTCACTACAGCGTAGCAAACAAACATTTAATCGTATAATTAGAAATTTGACACTAAAGCTAATGATGCTTCTGTAACAAAAACTGAAACGACCACTATTGTGAGAAATCATCATTTTACAATTATGTTTGACAACAACCACAATACTAAATAGAAAATCAAAATTTAAGACTTAACCAACACATAGCAATACAATCTCAATCTGGGAACTGTCATACAGACTACCTACCTAAATACTGAAACTTTCATGGGGTAAGACTTCAAAACAACAGCTTCAAAGCCACTACCATGACTACCATGGAAATCTGTTTAGTATGAGTGAAAGTCGTAGGTAACTAATATCTGATAAAAATTACTTCAAATGTTTCCTTCCCACCCCATATTCAGGAATAGATGATGAAACACCATAATTAACTGCAGCAAAACTCAGACACATATTCCAAGAAATATCTGTGTCATCCATTTCAAAAGATCCACTAGTTCATTTCACGTTTACATACTAAACACAGGTAATAAATAAAAATTCCTGCCTTTAAAAGGAGAGGGCATTCCCTCCCAGTGTGTTGTACTGCTCGGACTTGTCCAAGAGCCATCTACACATAAAATAAAAAGAATACATTACATACATCATTTGAAGCATCATTAGCTCATTTTTGAATATCAAAAGCCTCACTGTTAATAAAAAGGCACTTAAATAAAGTACACAAGTACTCCTTCTCAAGAGCCTTAGAAATTTTCTGTAAACAAAACTATCATTCTTCAAAACCTATATATGCCTCCAAGGTCAGAAAACTGTCTTCAAGAATTTAAAAAATACTACATAATGCTTTTAGAAGATAAATATATTAAACCCGGTTAAGCCCACAAGCTTTAAGAAACAAGAACATCTGATACACATTTCAATAACATATTTTAAAAGAAAAAATATCATAAAATTATTTTATTAGGGTT